TAAATCTACCAATCAAAAAACAATACAATCACTGCAACTGTCTAATATTGAACGTCCAATGGTGTCACACTAACCAATTGGCTATTCCCTATTGGAATTGGAATTAGAGAATTCCCTATTGGATGAAAAACGAGAGATTCACACTATCACCATGTGGTGATATAAATTATACATAGTAGCCTCCAACACGGATACTATTGAATGAATGATGCGTGCGTGCTGCATAATGTTTTACGAAATTAGCTATGGTAAAACTTTTGGAGTACAGTTGTAGAACACAAAGCTGGGCACCGTTAATCAAATAGTTAACTTCGTTAATCGTTAATCCGCTACAAAAAAAGTTAGCTTCGTTAAACTAAAGCCTTACATTTCGGAAGAATTAACGCAAGTTAACGTTAATCGTTAATCCGTTAATATGTGTAAAATTACATTTTTGCCACTGCAAGTAGTTGCAATCTCGAATGATTTCCCGACGGCCAGCTGTCGTCCCTATTGTATTCTTCTTTTAACAGGATTAGGATTACTGCTACTTGTGCTATGATTGTCACAATGAGTTCTCCTTTTTGTCTTGTCTGGTAAACGACCAGACGGATCACCTGATGGTAAGCAATCGGCGTCGCCCATGGTGAATATACTAAAAAGCTCTATTAGTTTCGAACCACAGAGGGGTTCTTCCTCATGAGCAGTGTGCGCGATACGGCGATGTCGCGCAGCCTACTGTTAGTAGTAGTAGATAATATTTGGTTATGGTAAAAATCCCGAACTGACTACATAACAGTAATATTATTAATGTGAAAGTTTCTTTGTTTGGATATTTGTCCGTCAATCGCGCTGAAACTACTGAACTTTTCATCAAGGGCATTGACTAAAATTGGTGCCTTTCTTTTTTCTGGCGGCAGTCGATAATTTATGGAAAATACTATCCAGAATGTCATTACAAACGAAATTGTCTATGGGCTCATATATGGAAATCTCAGTCTGGACTGAGTTATGAGCGTTAAAAGGAGCTGGACTCAAACATTTTACTTTCGTTTTTTTATTCAAATTATTCATATTTTTGTCACAATTCCTAACTTCAAATTGCGCGCCACTGTACGCCGGGCACAGAAACACCAAATCACACCACAATATATCCATATTGCCAGTCGCTAATTTTTATTAGCCATTTTCTCTCAGTCGATAACTTGTGGGATGCTTCTAGGAGTTGTGTCATGAAGCTTCATGAGTGTCAGCTGGGGTACCAGTGGTGGGTTGAGTAGATGTAGCCGTCCAAACATCTAATAAAGTATTTTTTTGCCGTTGACTCCTGGTGGGAGACTCATCTACTTTATAGTTAGCATAATTTTTTGAAGAAAGCAAACCGTCGACTTTTTAAAGTGATGGACTATACGTCAGATGAGCGCATAATTTTTCATATAATCGATCATTCGAAATGCATCACTTTGTGACTGAATGACGATGTCTTTGTACAGAATCTTATGCTAGATGTAGATTAAAGTATTAACTGTAGTTAGATTAGTTACTAATCGGAAGTAAGTCGGGAGAAGTAGACAGAAACATGATTTTTTTTATTTTGACGACTGTTACTACTCAATCCGCTACCAACGCCGCAGCTGACAAACATAGCATTTCATGATAGGGCTCAGTTAATGAATTTTTTTTCGTATTTTTGACAAGAGAGGATGATGATGATGATTGATCATGAAATCTGTCATAGGCCATAAACCGTATACATATAAATTGAACACGCTAGCCAATCAAACGAAATGTTTTTTTTTTCTTCAGCAGTGGTCAGGTAATGGTTCACTCTGTTCTGATTCGGTGGCCTTATAACAAAAAAAAAACTAATATAACAAACAAAAATAATAAATATTTTTACTTATTTTTTTTACTTATTCAATAAGCTTTATTATATTCCTTGATAGTAAATGAAGAAATATGCGTTGTGTACGGTCACCATCAACAAAATCACAGGAATTATATAGCACTATTTTTACACCTTTGTACTGATTTAACTCGGTTCGGACTGTGTTTTTGATATAAGACACCATAATTTTTTTTTGTTTGTAATGTTATTCTGCATCAGTTTATCCACATCCGATCAACTGCCGCGAAAAAATAAAAAGGCACCACGCTCCATACAAATTTGGTCATTGTCATTTGGTATACAGCCAGGAATAAAGAAATCAAGACCAAATCAACGGATCTTTGGGGCTTATCGGTAATGGTTTGCAAGTCACTTATCCAAACTGTAGCGCCATATCTGGCTGTGATTTTCAATAAATGTATAGATGACGGTGTTTTCCCTGACCTAATGAAATATAGTAAGGTTATCCCACTATTTAAAAGTGGTGACACTAAAGAACCTAACAACTACAGGCCAGTGTCTGTTTTACCGGTTCTCAGCAAAGTCTTTGAAAAGTTGATGCTGTCTCGGATGCTTCATCATTTTAATAAACATTCCATCTTTCACCAACAACAATACGGTTTCACTAAAGGTCGTTGCACAACTGACGCCGGTGTCACTTTGATTAAGAAAATATTTGGTGCTTGGGAGGAAGCACAGGATGCTATTGGTGTATTTTGTGACCTCTCAAAAGCATTTGATTGCGTTGACCACGAAACACTTTTGCTGAAATTAGATCACTACGGGATAATAAACTCTGCGCTCCGTCTTATGAAATCTTATTTAGAAGAAAGACAGTTAAAGGTTCATGTTAACGGTATTAACTCACAGGGCTCTGGGATGAATATGGGCGTTCCTCAAGGTTCAATATTGGGTCCCTTTCTATTTTTAGTCTATATAAATGATTTGCCATTTATATTTAAAAATGAACCAAGAATGGTGCTTTTTGCAGATGATACATCATTAATTTTTAAAGTAGATCGACGTACAAATTATCTTGACGATGTAAACAGCTCTAATAATCTAGCACTTAATGAAAAAAACCAAATGTATTAAATTCAGTTTACCAAACGTGCGTAGTAACGATTGTGATATTGTTTTGAACGGTCAAAAGTTAGAATTTATCGACGAGACAGTATTTTTAGGCATTACGTTAGACAATAGGCTACAATGGGGTCCGCATATAAAGGCGCTTTCGGGGAGATTGAGCTCAGCTGCTTTTGCAGTTAGACAGATTAGACAGCTCACGGACGTAGATACAGCTAGGCTTGTCTATTTTAGTTATTTCCACAGCATTATGTCGTACGGCATTTTGTTGTGGGGTCGAGCTGCAGAAATAGAATCAATATTTATTCTGCAAAAGCGGGCTATCCGAGCAATATATAACTTACGCCGTTGCGAATCGTTGAGAGAATTGTTTAAAACGATAAATATTTTAACGGTGCCCTGTCAATATATATATGAAAATATAATGTATGTAAGGAAAAATAGGCAATTGTTTGAAAAAAGAAGCGATAGACACAATTTTAATACTAGAGGCAAAAATAAGTTAGCTATACCGCAATTCAGACTGTCCAAAGTACAGAAATCCTTTATGGGGTTAGGTATTAAATGCTATAATAAAATACCAAATAGCATACTAGATCTCAATGAAAGTAAATTTAAAACATATATTAAGCGCGAATTATGTAATCAAGCTTACTACACACTGACAGATTATCTTGAAGATAAGAATGCTTGGCAGCATGTTGGTTCGGCTCCACTGGACAATACTCAAATGTAGTCAGTAGTTAAATTCCAATAGTAGGTAATATAATACATAATTTAATACTTTAATTCTAATGTAGACAATCTAGTTTCCTTATGGCATCGAGCATTTCTTTCTTTATTGAAACAAAGAGTTTCCTTTTTCTTGTATAGAAGCACTATTTCTATGGATTGTCAGTATGCATATGTGAGCACCATGTTAGACTTAAGATTTTTATTTTTTTTTATTTTAGTAAGTTATTAGTATAATGCGTCAAGCGTGTCTTTGCATTGTTCTTACATATGCGTACAGTATTGAAATATGTATCAGAGACATTGTAGAACATACTTTTTTAAAAGAGTAACGAATGGAGTTTCTTGCTCGTTCTTCTCCATTCGAATCTACGTTTTGGAATGAGCACCTAGCTTCACCTAATTTCACTGACGGACTGACTGACAGACTATAATTTATTTTGTATTTGTTGACGTTTCAAAAGTACCAAACTATGGTTTAATTGAAATAAATGCTTTGACTTTGACTTTGACTTTGATATGGGCTGACTTAGGAGCTACTGTAAGGTTATTTTATTTATTCCTAAAAATGATATATTTTTAATTAAAAAAAACTGAAGAATTGAATCGGGTAACACTTTTTAACCTGGCAACACGAAAAAGAAAAAAAGGAGGATTATTGGTTTTTTGGGAGACGTGGGAAAGCGGAGATTTATGGCGGCAATTTTTGGGGGTCGAGAAAAAGGTGAATGGACGTTGAGAGGGATAATTGATAAAATACAGAGTGAGAATATATGCAGTGGAAGTTTTATTAAAAACCCCTATAAATATTACACTACGATACATTTATCCCGATTAAATGCTCCCATGGGAAAAAAACAGAAATACGTGGGCAAAGCCGCGGGTAAAAGCTAATCAATAATAATTAAAAATCAACTATTTACAACAACAAAAACAGAAACACGGAAAATAAAATGGCCACCCGGCACGGATGTGGACCCAACCCAACGTGACGTGACGTAGAACTCAAAATGTTGCCATTTCAAATAAGTACTAAAGTCTATCTAGACGAATGATAAAAGAGAACAGAATATATTTCGATTCTTAATAGCATTAGCATGGTATTTTTATAACTACGTATTTGTTTAGGACATTAGGGCAAGTTCTAAGATTCTTAAGTCATTGGTACCTACCTACACAGTTCTTGTCCTCGTATTTCTTTAATCATTGACATTTTCACATTTCCTCTGTCTTTGAATGAATGAATGAACTGTACCTGAGTCAATTGGAGTCAACTTCATGTGAAATAAGCTTCCTTAATCATTCGTCCGTCGTTCGGTTCGGTTTCGGTCGGCATTCGTTCGGTGATTTAGTACATCGACTTTTCAGTTTGTCGTATCGACGTCCAACTTTTAATTTTTAATATCATTTAATTATGTGAAGTGTGACATAAAAGCCTGAGTTTATGTTTAAAATATGGTTTAGATTAACGTGAAGTTACATGAAACATCTAGTTATAATGTTATGATAGTTTCATTATCAAGTGATTATCGACCTCATTCGACTGTTTATGTTTAGTAAACGGGTAAGGGTTTAACAAAGTTTGTTTTGCAAACAGACAGTTTACCCTCAATCAAACTTAAGTCGGTGTGAATTAGCTAAGTGATGTGTTATTAAATCAGTTATGTTCGTGATATGAGATGGTAACGATGGGCAAAATGTGCAAAGTGGTGTTGTGTCTTTGTATGGCGGTGTTGAGCTGGGGCGGCGCGGCTGCGGAGATTGGGCACAACATGAACAACATCTCGCGCAGCATGTTAGAGGAAGTGACGGACGTAATGGATATGGTGGAAGTGATTTACTCGGAACCAGTGATCACCCCCAAGTACGTTGCCGAGTTGCAGTTCGATATGCGCGCTATGGGCCCCCTCTACAACTCGACACACATCATCATCGACGCCATCGCTGACAAACAGGCATACCCAGAAGGTAATTAGTGACAGCGTTCCATATCCTTATTATATATTCTCTAATAATGTGATTCTTGTTACTACTCTAATACCAAAATGTATTTTGAAATGAGATGCAGACATTCAACACTTTTTTTTGTAGTAGGGTGCTTGATTTATTTAACATTAATTTCTATGAATCTGAGTGAAACATTACCATACAATGGGCAAGGTACAATGGTGGCTGTTACATTGCCTCAGCTGGGAACAATGCACAGAACCCACCTGACAGGCTTGCTTGTTGGTAATACATATATACATATTTAGACCACATATGATGTTCAGTAAATTTAAAATTTATTTAACATACCTAATAGTTTTAGCATATATGTATAATTGCCTATGACATGCGACTAAGTATGTACACACTTGAGAGATAAATAGGACATAGGGAAATTAGTAAACGTAATGCCTCTAGCCAATGAGATATAATATAATATAGTACATGATGAGTCACAATCATGGAATGTAAAATGAAACATACAGACACAAGGTGTGAAAATTTTACCAAATCCTTTTTTACTAAGACACTCAAATTTATTTACTGTATTGCATATTATTTAGCAAGCAAACTAAAACAGCAATGCCATGGTCCTCACTTAACTTTTTTATACCATGACGGTGGCAAAAAAGCACATTCACCTGATGGTAAGCAGTTAACTCCTACCAATGTTACATATAAAGTACCTATCTATCATTTTAATCCAGATTCTTGTTTATTATTCCTCTTTGCACAGGAATAATAAACAAGAATCTTTGTTTCAAGTTGTAATACATTTTCAACCGACTTCATTGTTATCACTAACCTAACATGGCAATCACTTGTACAAGATATATAACTTTATAAATTAAGCCCACTCTGTCTTGCACTATCATAATTCTGTAAATGAGTGTGACCCATTATCTCTACCCTTACTTCCAATGAATTCTTTGACTTTAATATTAAGAGCAAAGCTAGGAGCTTTTTTATTATACTAGCAGCCCATTCTGGCTTTGCTCAGGCGCTGTTCTCTGACCTTTCTTGGGAAAATGAATTTATACGGGGTCAATTTTGACATGAGATCACCTTCACCGCATACAGCGTCAGTACTGTGGGTACTATGTGTTAGTCATCTCATGTGCTTCATTGTCAACATTCCTAACAGTCCTATTTAAACATGGTAGGTAAGCTTCAAGTAGAGCTTTTATAAGATTTGGTCTAGATTACAGCTCAGACCACTGCCCTTCCTGTTGGTGCTACTGACTTGCAGAATCGTAAATAAACGTAGGACGCGTACGCGTACGTACTGTACGTACCAGCCGTTTTCCGACACTGGAAGACAGTTTTTGTAACGGTGGCTTTAGGAAGACAGGGAAGTACAAAAAAACTTGTAAATCTTTCTCACTTTACCAAAAGACTTTGTATAGGCTACAGATGTGGACAAGTTCCTCGCTCCCGTATTTTACAATGCTTGCGGCACGTACTTTCGAAGCCTTGTACACGACCAAGTTGGCTGGTCGCGGCATGGCACTGAGACCGCGGGCATTTTGTCGCGGAGAACCTAACGAAACCGGGGCGGTTTTTAGTCAGTAAGAGTCTGACACTCCTTCCCGCCTCACCCAGGCGGGAGCAGTCATTCGATGATTTCCCCCCCTTAAAAAAAACCCTACCTATTGAAATCTGTAATCTTAAACATTTGTTGATGTTTGTTTAAAAGTTTAATGATGCATTTTTTCATTAAGTGCTAGGCCGTCCTGTACCCCGCCCTGTGGCGGATATACCAGAATAGTCTTGCTCGACGTATCCGCCTGAAGGAGATAAGCGAGTATAGTACTTATAAAATGAAATAATTTGCCTAATTTTCGTTTCCCTTAGGAGGAACACACCGTACGTACGTATATGTATCCTATTACGAGTACTCGAACAACGAGGCCCAACGAGGTAGCTAGAATAAACTTACTCGCATTAGGATATGATCGACCTTTTAATAATGCTACCGTTGATCGAAGGGTGCGCTCATGCAAGTCTCATGTCGCGGTCGTCGACCTTGTGCCTGCATCTCACTGCTCCGCCCTTTCCCCTTTGTGGAAGTTGCAAATAACATTTTTTTCGCTTCAAGCTTCCTTGTGCGTACTGCTAAAGAGAGGAATTCTTTGCCAGAGACTGTATTTCCTGAAGGGTATAACCTGGGAGTCTTCAAGGCCCGAGTGAATAGGTTGCTTATGGGACGACGTGCTCCAACGTAGACCGCATCATCGCTTACCATCAGGTGAGATAGTGGTCAAACGTCGCCCCATCAATTATAAAAAAAAAAAAAAAAAAATTGTCTATGTACTACATTATGTATAAGAGGTCAATATGTGGATGTCCGATCAGTTAATTTAATGAGTGACTTTATTTGAGAATTATTTAGGTATTTTAATGTTTGAGAATCATCCTACTGTCAACACTTTCATACTTCATACGGCTTAAACATCCAAACTTTGCCCTTATCTTAGGTACTTAGGTTCTGTCACAATCTCTGTATAGCCGCTGCATACTATAATAGATTTGTTATTTTTTGTTGTAATTTGTTGAAGTTTCTGCCACATAAGTTTATCGGATACCTAATTGTGGCCGACTTGGTTGAGTGGTCTCAGATGCTACTGCCGAACAAGGGGTTTTGGGTTCAATTCTCTGATTGGCTAACGATTATTGAGAATTTTCCGTTTTTTTTTCAAATTCGCAGTAACTAGCAAAACCCGTGTTAAAAAAAAAAGAATCATCATGTATCAATTGTAATATGACGTATCTCTTTGGGAATTAAAAGGTGTAATGTTTTTCAAGCAACAAACAGAAGCGATATATAAGGCCGTGCAGGCCTTGCTGTGTGGACGTCCGGTCTGGTTGACCCCAAAACAAATAAGATAAGCGTCTGTTTCAAGCTGTATTCGATACAGCTTGTTCACAATTTGTGCAATCCAAAATAACTCTTATGCAATTCTGAGCAACAAGAGCATAGAATATGTATATCAGGGACTGAATAAACGGACAATTTGGGTACCCTTAAATTGCGGTATGAGTTATGACGTCATACCGATAAATAAAAGTTATCGGTTTATTTCGGTATAGAATTTTTTCTGTACCGTTATTTTTGAAACCGTATATTTCAGTACCTTAACCTTAATAACAAAGGTTTAAAAGAAAAATTGACCACGTTAGTTCATCTGTCCTATTTCTCTCTCCTTACAGGTTCACAGGCGCTTGCTTACTACCGGTTCCGTTGTGTCGCACCCATGGAAATATTATATAAAATTATAAACAGTTGTTATATCTATGTTCGCACCACACTCTTCGCACCTCTCGCTTTACGTCCCGCAATGGTCAAATCTAAGCTTTTCGGTGCCGATATCCAGAGCCCAGCAGGGCTGATGCCCGATGATGGCCGCGGAAGGCCTACTGGGTTGCCGAGGCTCCGGCTAGAAGAGTAGGAGTAGGAGGGTGTTTCTTCAAAAAACTTTAACTTTTATTTAACAAATCATTATCCTCCCGCGTTGTTAAGCATCGCAGTAACTTATTAGCATCTGTTTTTTATTGCATTGGGTGAGAGCAGTGACATGGCTCAATTTTTTGAAACTAAACTTTGTATTTTAATCAGCAAAATTGTTAACTGTGGCTTGAGGATAATGACGCCGTTAATTTTTTGGTTTTTTTTTTGGAGAATCACCCAGGAACGGGGTGATTTTTAGTCAGTAAGAGTGACACTTCCACTCGCCTAACCCAATGTGGAATGTTTTCCCCCGCAAAAAAATTGTAATGTAGGTAGTCAGTCCCTGGTGTAGATTGACACATACTTGTCATACGGATATGTGCAGAGTCGTGTAGGAAGTTGTAGTAACTATATATTCTACTCACTAATTTCACTAAAATGTAAACGGTAATGAGAATTATTTTCAATAGTTAATCAGGTCAACTATTCCCTGTATGGAACTCGTTACATCAGTTTTGTAGCGCGAGGCAGAAAGCCTCAAAATTGTGCATTCTACTAGGTCTTCATATCCTCGCAAAGGTTATCAGTGACAATGATCTTTATACTTGGCCGGCGACACTGATAACATTATCGTGACGTTGCTGAAACGTCACGAAGGCTATGTGCATCACCGCCGCGTGCGGCGTCCATATTGATTACATTAACTTCTGTTTGCTCATACTCGCCTAGTACTTTTTCAGGAATTATGCAGTAACGCGTTTCCAATACACTATATACACATTATTTTTGAATATTTACTAACACTTCTTTTGTTGTAGCTCATTTCCACGTGAATCCAATCCAGTACTATTATAAATAGGTTATGTTTATTTATATTATTAAAGTACATATCCGTTTTCTTTCTCAAGTGTTGTTTTCATGTTTTGTTATTATAAATATACATACATAATGAAATGAAACCTTTATTTGTGATAAAATTTGATCTGCCTTTTGATCTCTACATGTAACATAACCTAATAACGTTTACTAGTATCGCTAGATGGAGATGAATAGTAATGATTGGCGACTAGCGTGGTTCACTGGACCGCGTCGCGCGTCGTTGACGACGCGTACCGTACCTTACGTCACGATCACGATACGTCATGATAACTTCATTTGCCACACTCGTGTGAATGCACCTCGCTCTACTTTTAACTCTGTGCTATTCACTACTTGCAAGAAAGTGATCTTATTTTTTTGAACAGTCCTATCCTAGAGTGACAGTAACGGGTAACCTAACGGGTTACCGGGGCTCCGGTTCGATGTGCAGGAGAAGGAACGTGGTGGTTTTTAGTCAGTAAGAGTCTGACACTCCCTCCCGCCTTACCCAGGCGGGAGCGGTGATTCGATGATTTACGGGGGTAAATTTTTAAGGGGTTAAAAAAAATCTTAGAGGGACTGCACGGTTGTCGCGTTGACTTGGCAACTGTAGGGGGTTCGATTCCCGCACGGAACAAATCGTTGTGTGATCCACAAATTGTTTTTGTAATTC